TCGGCAGCTGCCGGTTTCCATGGCCACGGCCGCCGCTTCCACACGGCGCTGCCCTCCGGGGCCGCTCACGCGCGGCAGCAGCTGGAGGAGCCGCTGGATTGGGGACAAACTCCTCTTCCCCCGGTTCCTCCGCGATAATGGGCGGAAAAAGCCGCATTTTGGGGGTGGGTCTGCAGCTTTGAGCCGGCAGCAGGGGGAAAATCTCCATATCCCGCTCAAAACATTGTGTTTTTCTGTCTCCGCTCTAGGGAAGAGCAGCGAAAGAGCCTCCTACTCCACGTTTGGAAGAGACGCGGCGATGCCGGGGCTGAATCAGGTAAAAGCGTCGCAGTTTGGGGCTCTCGGCTGCTCAAAGGGGAGAGCTCGGGAATGGGGAGCGGGAATGGGGAATGGGGAGTCCCTGGCGGCCTTGCATCCCACCTCCATGCCCGACATCCTGGCCGCCCCACTTTGCCTGAAACCTCCCAGGGGCTGGAACATCATCCTGGGCACTTGGAGAGCAGGGGCCTTGCACCGTATTCCTGTCGTAGGGAACACGGCCGCGCAGCGGGGCCGCATCCCGCTGCAGCGTCGCGTGGGGGCGGCTCGGGGGCGCCCACATCCCCCCTGCGGACGGCCCCGTGCGAGGGCGGCTCTGCCCCCAGCCCTCGTGCCCGCGGCCACGCGCGGGGGGCACGTTTAAATTCGACACAAATTTGTCATCGTTTCCTCTCCTCTGAACTGAGGATGTTTCCTTTGCTGGAGCAGCTGTGCCGGCCGCCTGTGCCAGCGCGGGTTTCATTTACCACTGGAGCTGCTAAAATCCAAACGGGCCAGGAGCCAAGGCCCTTCCTAATGTTATGATTTTGTCGAGCTTTGCCGGGGGCTCGGGAGACGCGAGGTAACCGGAGCGGGTGGGCAAATGGCGCCGGCGCCGCGCGGGCCGGCTGGTCCGCGCCCAGGGGACGCAGCCCCCGTGTCACCCCGGAGCAGTTGTTGCTCCTGTTTTCAGGGCTGTTTCAACCTGCTTTTCCATAAAAAAAAGAGCCCAAAAAACGGCCCGATGGCTGGTGCTTTGCACCTGCAGCGCTCCCCGCCCGGTCATGTTCTTCCCCATCCTCAACCTCCTTCAAGGGCTGGGGAAAGCCCGTTTTCTGCAGGAAAAGGGCTGAGGACGCGCGCGGCACTCCCGGCTCTCCGCGCTCGCTCCAGCTCGCTCGGCTCCCTGCTTTCCTTGGCCGCGCGTTCGCGGCGCGGAGGAAACCCGAGCGCTGGAACAGATTGCAGGAATTCCACCAGCTGTGAACACACGAACTGCTCCTTCCCTCCCCGCGCCCTGCCGAGCCGGCCGCCTCGGGAAGCGGCCGCTTTCCTCTCTGCCCTTGTCCAAAAAGCCCCAAATCTTCCTCTCCTCCAATTTATCCCCCTCTGAAGGTGGGTAGATGCTCAGCTTTTGTGACCTCCCACCCTCGTCGTTGGGGTCGTTGGGGTGTTGCGGGCCTCGCGGCTGCGTTTGTCCTCGTGTTTGCGCACAGGCGGCTCCGGGCGCTGGCTGTGGTGGCTCCATCTCACCACCGTGTCCTTGTTTGCAGCCTGGATTCCTGCCCGGCGAGATGGGAATCGCGAGTCCGAGCACGCTGTCCCCCACCGGGGTCAAGGGGGGGACCCAGTATTTCTCGTACCCCAGCAACCCCCGCAGGAGAGGTGCCGAGAGCAGCCTAGGTGAGTGGCTCCGCGTCCCCCGGCCTGCGCCCGGCCTCGTCTCCCAGCGGAGCTCGTCCCTGCCCGGCTTCTCCTGGAAAACCAGCCCTTTGCTCCCAACGGGTTCGGGGCAGGTGCGCTCTGCATTGCAAGCGCAGATGAGCCCCAGTTCTCCAGAACTTGGGTTCTCCTCTCGCCGCTCCCTCCCCAACCCCCGCAGTTGCTTCTCTTGCTGCTATTTTGGGCTTTCCCCAACAAACGAAACCAGAAGCAGCCTAGTGGTACGTGTATTTTTTTCCAGCGCTTTTCAGAAAAACGCATCTGCTTTGATACTTGAAAGTTAATTTGCTGCTTTAAAAATGTCGCAGTTTTCAGGTTTCAGCCTGGGAAACGCTTTTTTTTTCCTTTTCTTTTTTAATTTGCAGTGGCTCGTCCTGTGTGATGAGTTTCTCCTCAGCTCTCTCCAGATGGACTCGTACCCTTTGCCCCTTCCCTTCCCCGTGCGGGGCTTTCCTTTGCTCTGAGCAAAAAAAGAAAGAGAAACCCCCCAATTTTAAGCAGCGCTTCTTCTCGGGATGCTTCTTCCCCCACCACCACCTCGGATATTTTCCGCCTTCCTCCCCGGAACGCAGGGTCTTTCCCACTCCAAGTCGGAGCCCGTGCAGGAGTGAGAGTGCGGGAGGACCAGACTGGGGTGACGCCCCCTTTTCCTAGCAGGGATTTTTCCCCCAGTAATTTATTGAGGAAACAGAACTATTGGACAAACACAAACCCATCCCTGTGTTTTCTTTCATTCTGGGCAAATTGTCTGCAAAACAAAAAATATCTCCAAACCTCTCACAAAGGCTGGATTTTCTTACGGGCTCAGTCTCTTTGGGAGAGCAAGCACAGCCCTGTGCAGCCTGAGGAGCCAGGAGGGATGGGGAATTTGTTGGAAACGCGAGTTTTGCCGGGTGAAACCCGCCCGCGGAGCGGCGGCGGGACGAGGAATCCGCAGCGCGCGCAGAGCGTCGCTTCGCTGCCGCGCTCCGACCCTCCCGGCGCTTGACGCTGTCCTGGTTTCTTTCCCCCAGATGCACAGCCCAAAAAGGTTCGCAAGGTGCCCCCGGGACTCCCCTCCTCGGTAAGTGATTCCTCATCCCACTCCAAGAGGCTTTGACCCTCTGCAGCAGGGACATTCCAGCTGCTCCTCCTCTTCCTCACCCGTGTGCCCCGGCGCACGCGGGTTTTAGGCTACCAAGGATAGAGGGAGGGAGGGAGCCGCATCGGGATGCACAGCCGGGAAGGCCGTGATGCTCCGAAAGTAGCTGCTTAATAGGAAAAAAAACCTGCTGGAATCGGAATTCCCCTCCCCGCCTCAGGTTTCCGCGTGAAATTGGGAGCTGCTAAGCGCCATGTGGGGAAACGGTCACTCTCAGCAAATGGCCGTTTATTGGCCTCGGATTTCAAAGGTGAGGGAGGTTTCAGGCACCCGCGGGACCCCCATCCCGGCGGGATGGAGCGCGCGGCGCTTGCAGGAATTCGAGCGGTCGCTGGACCCCGTGCAAAGCGACGGGGCTGACGGGCACCTCGGTAAAACCCGGCGCTTCAGTCTGTGCGGGGCGTTTGTGGCCGCGGGGCCGTTCGGAGGAGCAGCAGGAGAGTCAGCGGGGCTCCTTCCAGCTGACTTTGGGGGCAAAAGCCCTTATTACCCTTATTCTTTAAACCCCATTCGAAGAGCAGCGGCGCGGCGGAAAGAAGCCCGGTGGTGCTAGGGCTTGGAGCGCGGCTCTGCGCCGGAGGAACGAGCTCAGCAGGCTCCCCGCGGCCACCGTGAGGGCTGGGGCCATGGGGCTGATTCCTGTGGCCCCCGGAGCTACCG